CCAATATCTCTATGGTTGCAAATGATATTTAGATTAATCCGTTATTTCTGATGCTAATATTCCGCGCAGATTCTTCGTCCACGTTCCCACTTACGCTACCACTGGTGATTCGTCAATCGCTGTCTTTGTCTCGTATAATAAGTCATCTTTTGTCCCCACGTTAGCCTAGCACCCTCTTTGGTTCCTTCGGTCCATCGACACGTTCATATGCGGTACCAGAATTAACCTTCTTTTTAACTGATAGCAATGAGTTGGAACTCTCAAAATGGGGGATTTAAAGGCGAAGCCTTCGCTTTTATACTCTAAAAAAATCATTCATTCGTTTCGATGATATGCTATGACTTTTGCCAACTTTCAGAGCCTCCATAAATCTTTTTCTCATCTAATACCGAAGGAAAGAGCCATCGGCATTTTTGCTTTCCAGGCGACGCGTGATAATGGATGATTTTCGTGAAGCATATTATTGGCTGCGGAAAAATACGGAACCAAATGCAAGGGTGATGAGTTGGTGGGATTATGGATATCAGATAGCCGGGATGGCAAATCGCACCACTCTGGTGGACAATAATACATGGAATAATTCACACATAGCATTGGTATGTTGGTGGTTTTTTTTTAAATATCTAGCCTTTATGTATAGACTGAGATCCAACATTTTTAGAAAACGTAGTGCGATAAATAGTGGTGTATTTTGTAGGTTGGAAAAGCGATGGCATCAAATGAAACAGCAGCATATGAAATTATGTATGATTTAGATGTTGATTATGTCCTGGCCATTTTCGGTGGCGTTATTGGATATTCAGGTCAGCTTTTTTTTTCAAAAATCTCGTAGCAACAGAGAAAATATGTTTTTTTTAATGTTTTTTTTTTTTTTTTTTGTATTCTTTATGTAGCCGTCTGGATTGCCCAAAACAAAAATTCTTTTGTTGCTGGAAATTGCCATCACAACAGTTTAATGCAAGAGAACCTACTCTAGTTTCTTGAACATACTGCATTGGGTGTTTCAGTCGACACCAGTCCATCCATTTTTGTCTGTTTATCTACTGATCCGTTATAAAAACATATCATAAATGTAAAAATTTTAAATGTTTTGCTCCACTTATGTACTTTTTTTTAGACATTTACCGTTGAAAGTGCACCCGTTTGGAGTGGAAAATGCAGCCAGTTTTTCAAAGATTGATCATTTTTCTTTTAGGCGATGATATCAACAAATTTTTATGGATGGTACGAATAGCTGAAGGTGAACATCCAAAAGATATTCGTGAAGCAAACTATTTCACAGAAGGCGGTGATTATAGTGTTGGAGCACAAGCCTCCGAAACAATGCTCAATTGTATGATGTATAAAATAAGCTATTATCGTTTCGGAGAAATAAGGGTTGGTTTTTATGCATTTTTTATTACACCTATGCAGTGCAAAAATGCATATTGTCGCGGGGTTGTCTGCGTGTGTTCGTCTGTACCGATTTTTTTTTT